GATAGACTAGCAGACATCAGTGTAAAATTTCATTGATATGGTTTAGATTCTACATTGCAGCTATCTGTTAAGAACCTGCCATTATCTAGCTTTGATTGAGTATAAATAAATACAGATATCCACAATCATTTGATAAAATTCTTCTCTTTTCTAAGTACATAGTGTGAGGATGGATTTCCTTTTATATTTCAACAAAAACAATGTACGACTGAATGAAGAAAGTAGATATGAGAATACAGTTATCTGCTATTAAGTAGACATTAAGAGATTTGCAAAAATATAAAACAATGCTATTCTTCTCAGTAAAGACATGTGTTTTGCAAAAAAAGTTATTTTTCATAAAAATATGTTGATTATGCTTATCTGTAACATTTTGGGGGGTTATTTTAAAATTGAATATTTTTTTTAATGTTTCCAAGTTTTTGGGCAACCTTTCAGGTCCCCTCCCTCTTTGGGAGCTGTGTACTACCACTTTCATATCCTTCAATAAATTTTGCTGCTTAACCGCCCCCCCCAAACAAAGGTTCCAAGTTTTTGTTTGTAGTATGGCACATATAAATAGATATAACCCATATAAAGAAAATGTTTTGAGGGTCCTCCTTAAATTTCAAGAGTGGGATCCTGAAATGAAAATATTTGAGTACCATTGGAGTATATAATGGCTAGAATTGAAAACAAAAAGTAGCAATATAAGCAGTTTTGAAGAGTTATGCTTTTGTAGGACATGCTGAAGAATTAAATACTTTGAAGTATATGAAAGTTTAATATAATTATTCCACTACATAAAAAAACAATGCAGATCACAAAATGTCTGCTTATATCTATTGTAATAACTTATGAATTGTGGCTCAGATAAAACTTACAGTGATCGCATCTCTTCATTAATAATAATAATAAAGGTTATAATATTGCTTACTTTGAAGAGTTTTGTGATAACCAGAAATAAAGTATATAAGGCCTTTTGCTTGGCTTGTTGTTACTTTTTTTTCTTTACTCTCTCTTCGCAGATGACATGATACTTTATGTAGAAACCTCAAAAGACTCCACCCTCGAGTTACTAGAACTCACACAGCAACTCAGCAACGTGACAGGATACAAAATCAATCACAGAAATCAGTTGCATTTCTATACACTAAAAATGTAACTGAAGAGAAATTAGGGAATTGTTTCCATTTACAATAGCATCAAAAACCATAAGATAACTAGGAATAAACTTAACCAAAGAAGTAAAGGATCTGTATTCTAGAAACTACAGTACACTTATGAAAGAAATAGAGGAAGACAAAGAGATGGAAAAATATTTCCCAAGAGATGGAAAAATATTCCATGCTCATGGATTAGAAGAAGAAATATCGTTAAAATGTCCATGTTGTTCAGAGCAATCTACGCTTTCAATGCAATCCCTATCAAAATACCATCAACATTTTTCACAGAGCTGAAACAAACCATCCTAAAATTTGTATGGAACCAGAAAAGACCCTGAATTCTTAGGGGAATGTTGAAAAAGAAAACCAAAGCTGGGGGCATCACACTGCCTGACTTCAAGCTATATTACAAAGCTGTGGTCATCAAAACAGTATGGTATTGGCACAAAAACAGAAGCATAGACAAATGGAACAGGATAGAGACCCCAGAAACGGATCCTCAACTCTATGGTCAACTAATCTTTGACAAAGCAGGAAAGAACATCCAAGGGAAAAAAGATAGTCTCTTCAGTAAGTGGTGCTGGGAAAACTGGACAACCACATGCAGAAGAATGAAACTAGACCATTCTCTTACACCATACACAAAGATCAACTCAAAATGGATGAAAGACCTCAATGTGAGACAGGAATCCACCAAAATCCTAGAGGAGAACATAGGCAGTAACCTCTCTGACATTGGCCACAGCAGCGTCTTGCTAGACATGTCTCTAAAGGCAAGGGAAACAAAAGCAAAAATGAACTTTTGGGACTTAATCAAGATAAAAAGCTTCTGCGCGGTAAAGGAAACAGTCAACAAAACTAATGCAACCCATGGAATGGTGGAAGATATTTGCAAATAACATTAGAGATAAAGGGTTGGTATCCAAGATCTATAATGAACGTCTCAAACTTACCACCCAAAAAGCAAAGAATCCTGTCAAAAACTGGGCAGAAGCCCTGAACAAACACTTCCCCAAAGAAGACATACAAATGGCTAACAGACACATAAAAAAATGTTCAACATCACTAACCATCAGGGAAATAAAAATCAAAAACACAAAGAGATACCCCTTTCACCAGTTAGAATGATAAAAATTAACAAAACAAGAAACAACAAATGTTGGCGAGGATGTGGAGAAAGGGGAACCCTCTGACACTGTTTGTGGGAATGCAAGCTGGTACAGCCACTCTGTGGAAAACAGTATGGAATGTTCCTCAAGACGTTAAAAATAGAGCTGCCCTATGACCCAGCGATTGTACTACTAGGTATTTACCCCACAGATACAGATGTAGTAAAAGAAGGGGCACATGCACCCCAATGTTCATAAGAGCAATATCCATAATAGCCAAACTGTGGAAGGAGCCGAGATGTCCTTCAACAGATGAATGGATAAAGAAGATGTGGTTCATATACACAATGGACTATTACTCAGCCATCAGATAGGATGAATAACCACCATTTGCATTGACATGGATGGAACTGGAGGGGATCATGCTAAGTGAAATAAGTCAAGCAGAGAAAGATAATTATCACATGGTATCACTCATATGTGGAACATAAGGAATAGTTTGGAGGACCACAGGGGAAGGGAGGGAAAACTGAATGGGAAGAAATCAGAGAGGGAGACAAACCACGAGAGACTCTGGACTCTGAGAAACAAACTGAGGGTTACAGAGGAGATGGGGTGGGAGGATGGGGTAGCCAGGTGATGGGTATTAAGGAGGACATGTGTTGTGATGAGCACTGAATGTTATATATAACTAATGAATCATTGAACACTACCTCAAAAACTTACCATGTATGAACAATAGGAAAGTGGAGTTAGATAGTCTATTAATAGTATCAAAAATAACAAAGCACTTAGCAATAAATTTCATAAATGAAAGATTTGTACACCTCTAAATTACAAAAAAAGAAAGAAATGTTAAAAATCAAATTTTTTGTCTATGTCTATGATTTGTAAGACTTATTATTGTCGATATTCAAATTCCCCCTAAATTGATAAATAGATTCATCATTATCTCAAAAACCCAAGCTGCTCTTTTTTCAGAAGATGATAAGCTGATACTAAAATTTATTTGGAAATCCCATAGATCCAGCATACCTAAAATAATTGTGACCAAGAATAACAGAGCACTCACACTTCCTGACTTCTAACTTACAATGAGGCTACAGTAATCAAGGCATTACATTATTAACATAAGGGTAGATATGTAGATCCATAAAACAGATTTAAAAGTCAATCAATCATCATCAACCAATTTCAGCAAGGGTACTAAAACCATTCAAAGTGGAAATCATAGTCTCTTCAACTAACGGTACTGTGACAACTGGTAAAATAATGAATTTTTTCACACATCATATAAAAAAACCTCAAATGAATTAATGACATAAATATAAGAAATAAATTATAAGGGGCTCCTGGGTGGCTCAGTTGGTTAAGCAACTGCCTTCGGCTCCGGTCCTGATCTCGGGGTCCTGGGATGGAGTCCCACGTCAGGCTCCCTGCTTGGTGGGGGGGTCTGCTTCTTCCTCTCCCTCTGCCTGCTGCTCTGCCTACTTGTGCTCTCACTCTGCCAAATAAATAAAATCTTAAAAAAAGAAAAAGAAATAAATTATAAGACTCTAAAAAGAAAACAAAAATTTTGACCTTGGGTTGGATAGTGGTTTCCTACATATTACCAAGTGTATAAACTTATTTAGAATTTTCTACTTGTCCAAAATATTGCTATTTTGATAAAAAGGGATACAACAAATCATAACCCAAGGTGCAGGCTATTAAAGCATAAAGTCTGTTTTTATAAAACAAATGCTTTTATAGAGAAATAATACACTACAAAAAGATTGGATTAAAATCATATAGACAAAACTCAAGATAGTATCCAGAAAGCAGGCAAGGATTACTTTCAATTTTTAAGAATATAGGTTTTTCATGTCTAAAAATTGCAATAAATTAATACAGTTTGGTTACATTAAACTGTGGAAACTCCGTGGAATAATGGAATTGACATAGAAAGAATTAGAGGCTATGAATTCTCTTCAAGAAAACATTTGTTAGTTTTTTCAGATACTTTATATGGATTCACTTTTAAGAGCTGTATTAAAATAATCATAGTTAGCAATCCCAAGAACTGAGGGTTTTCTAATTTCTTCAGATAGATTATAGTTAGCAATATAAAGATGAATGAGTATTAAGATAAATCATGATAAGAAGAAGGTTGGGCAGCCAAAGCATTTTTTTTTGCAAAGTTATTTTAACTGGATTTGTTAAAATATCCACTTTTAATTTAAAGGTGAAAAATTATGTGGACATTCTAAGAGCTATTTTGTATAGACATAAGACTTGATTGGAGAAAGTGTTGACACTAAATCCCCACTTTTAAATGGTTAGTAATTATGTAAAGAGTCAGGAATAAAACACACAATACCCAGGCTCAAGGAGGGGTAACATTTATGTACTCCCAGGTAAGTAATCCTTAAACAAAGAGGCACTCAACTCCAACATTTTTTCTTGGATAAAGCAAGGAACCATAAGATTTATACCTGGTTTCAAAGGCAGATATCTTAAAGTCAAGTACTCATGACTAACAAAGAATAATATAACTGAAATTCACTGGGAGTAAAACAGCCTATGCTAATCTCCAAAAAAGGCCTACTTTACACATGATGTTTATATATTATACCAAATGAAGCTGTTATAAAATTGGGAAAAAGTGGAGAAAAGACAAACTAGGAAGAAGAGGATGGCCAAGGGATTCCAGCATCCTTGAAGGAATACTGACCTGAGTGGGAACTCAAATATGTTTGAAAAAATATTACATTAACTTTGCTTTCCTCAGTAGTTTCTGAAGTCCCCTGGACACTTCTTTGTTGCAGAGGCTGTAGATGAGAGGGGTCAGCATGGGGGTGAGGATGGTGTAGAAGGCAGATACTATCTTGTCCTGATCTGGTGTGTGGTTAGAAGCTGGTCTCATGTACATGAACATGGCAGCACCATAGTAGAGTCCAACCACAGACAGGTGGGAGGAACAGGTGGTGAAGGCTTTGTGGTGACTTTCTGTAGAGCTCATGCGGATGACAGCTCGGAGGACATGTGAATAGGAAATAATGATCACAGAGACTGGTAATATTAGCATCACCACACAGCAGATGAAAAGCAGTCTTTCAAAAGCAGAGGTGTCGTTGCAAGATAGAGGGAAAAGGGCAGCAACATCACAGAAAAAGTGATGAATTTCTAGAGAGCTCCAGTAAGAGAGTGACAGGACTTCTACAAGCACAATAATACCATCAAGAGAGCCCAGGATCCAGGAAGCAACAGTCATGAGTACACAGAGTTTCTGATTCATGAGGATGGTGTATCGAAGTGGGTGGCATATAGCCACATAGCGGTCATAGGCCATGACAGCCAACAGGAAACATTCAGCTCCAAGCAAGGACACATAGAAGAATATCTGAGCTCCACAACCTGCCAGTGATATTGACTTCCTGCCAGACAAATAGTTGAAGGCCATCCTGGGTGCAGTGGTGCAGATGAGCATAAGGTCCACAAGGGAGAGTTGGCTGAGGAGGAAGTACATGGGTGTGTGAAGCTGGGTGTCAAAGTAAATGAGAAGAATCATAGTAGTGTTTCCCATGAAGGCCACCGTGAAGATGCCCAAGACCAGAGAAAAGAGGAAGGTGTGGGTGAAGCTGTGATCAAAGATTCCTAGCAGGATGAAGTCAGAGCTAAAGTTCTGGTTTCTCCACACCATTCTGGATAATTTGCCTTACCTAGAAGTCCTAGGAAAACCACAATATTGTTTATTAATTTAGTTTTCAAATGTACACCATGGCAATCACTCTAATGGGAACTGTATTTAATGCATGCACAAGACTTTTAGCTATCTCCCAACTGGTCACAATGAATTCGTGACTTAGTTCACTGATTTCCAGTTATTTCTTTCCAAACGTCACAAGCAACAACTTTAAAAATACTTTCTTTAGTTCCCAGAAAAGAAATATGAAGTTTATGAGTCAGCCAATGTATCTACAGGTAGACAGTCAATAGAAAACCCAGAAGGAAAATAATTAAACATACCTATTCCTGAATTTTATGCCCATCCTTGATCACAGGAAATTCCTCATTGACCTTTTTCTCCCTTTCTTCTAACATGTCTCCAGGTTGGTGCTTTCCTAAATCACTACTCAATTCCTGTTGTAATAATTCCCTGTACCATCCTGCCCCTTCCCATTTTGTGGCACTAGCACAGTGAAAGTCTGTATGGTATCACTATCATTACACCTGTATACCTTAATTTAGAGAAGAGTTTAATACTGTTAAGTTTTTACTTTCAGTTCTCAGACCAAGTCTTGTAGTCATATCTTAATTAATCAAAGGACCCTTCAAAATATTTCCTATGGAAGAACAGAGCATTCACTTATCTTTTGAAAATAATTTTGCTTTTCTTAATCTGTATGGGGAGGGGCACTTTTATTTATGAATTTGTTTGTTTTTTGATTCTTTCCCCCTGCTATAAATTGTTATAAGTCAAGTGATATAAACCTCTAGGGAACAAAAAAGGACCCCTTTTTGAGATCTTTAAAAGCTTCACTTCAGTGGGTCATTTTGGGAACTAGTGAGGTATGTTTCACCAAAATGAGTAAAGGGTTGAATTTATAAAATACCCAAACCTTTATAGTTCAAGGGAGCAGACACTAGATGTACTTGTGTACCATAGGGAAGACACAAAATCAATCAATCAATCAATCAATTTAAAAAAAGACCCTGGAGATGTATGAGTAATGTGATCCTAGGGATCCAGAATAAATTTGCTTCAAATTTGTTTTTAATTAAGCAATTATTAAGGAAGCATTTTAAGCTGTAGCATAAAGATGTATAGTGACATGAAATGATTTAACATTGAGAAAGTTTCACGTTTACTGAAGTATGATTGCATGAAGGGTGGGTTACTCTGCAAATGTGGTGACCAGGAAGTGTATTCCTGAAGCATCCGGGGGAGCCAGGGTAAATTCTAGGAGGTGACAGTAGAGAAGTGAAGGACTGGTTAGAAATATAATTATCTATAAGTTTCTCAAAAGTTATTGGTTATGCTCTACTTTTTTCCCCTTCCTAATATATTTCGCTGCTCCCAAAATTCTTCTGGACTTCCAGACTTCAAATTTGAAATAATGCACTTTTTTCTAATATTCTCATGGTCTTACTTTTTTATTTAGCTAAAAATACCTAAATTTTGTCTAATTCATATAATGTTTTTTGATACTGAATATCTACCTGACTAAAGATTATTTGTCATTCTGACTGTCTATCCTTAATATCTATCTTTCAGTCTATTCAGAAACATTCTAAGCAAATAGCAGTGTCAAATATATTACCTGAATTCTATTAAATTGTTGAGAAATCCAGTTTTGCATTTTTACTTTGGACACTTTAATGACACATGGTGTAAGCGGTGATATATCAAACTGTTTCTATTTCATATCCGCTAGTTAGATGTATTATTATATACCTCAAACAAAATAAAATATACTTCCAAGAATAGAACAGATTCCTGAGGGCCTCTCTGTAACATACATATTAATGTTAAGTGGTCTATGCCTATCATAATGCTCTTTGTTTTTTTTTAAGATTTTATTTATTTATTCGAGAGAGAAAGAGAGCACAAGCAGGGTGAAGGGCAGAGGGAGAAGCAGACTTCCCACTGAGCAGGGAGCCCAAGGTGGACTCGATGCCAGGACTGGGATCATGAACTGAGCCAAAGGCAGACACTTAACCTACTGAGCCAAAATCCATATGGACCTCCTCATTCTAGTTAATTTTGGCAGTGTTTGTCATTCTTTACTTCTATTGTCATACATAATGGCTGCCTACTTTTCTGTAGGAAGTAAATGGTGTTAATATTGATGAAGCTAAACATTTACAAATTTTCAAAATAGAGTTAAAATTAAAACAGGGAATATTTATTGCAAAGGAAACAATCCTTCAACCTGCCTTTTCAAATGACTAAACACTTTTACCTCATTTATACTCTGACTTCTCAAATACTTAGGCCGAAATAAAATGAAAATAAACTCAGAGAAAGCTTAATATATGTGAGAACATGATTAACCATTCAAACAGATCCAAAGACTTTATGAAAGTGCCTTGAACCCACCTATTTAACACTGTCCTTTGCATTATGAACTTAATTTACTGCACTAACCTCTTAACCCTCATAACCATTGTATCTTCAGACCATGCTTCTTTCCACCCTAAATGCTGCCATTTGCCTAAAGAATGACATATTTAAAATGCATCAATGAGCATCAACTCCTCACTTATATTACTCACTGTCCCTTCATAAATTTCAAGAAGAAAAATAAACTTAATTGCCAGAGCCATGTGACCTGACCAATTCTCTGTTATGCAAATTTCTCTCTGAAACATTTGCTTTATCTCAAACCTCCACAACCTTCCAAAGTTTGTCTCCTCTCTGTCTGCTTTGCTCCTTTTACAGTCAAACTGCCTAAGTTATGATTGTCCTTCAAGACCCCTTCAACAGGAGCCTGTCCTGATGACCAAAGCTGTGTGGAGTGTTGTGTTTATGTACCTGTATAGTGCATTTAGAAACGTTTACTATAGCATATATCAAATTTTACTTGATGTTTTTCTTCCCTGTTACATTTGAATCAGTAATTGTCCTTTACTGTGGACTCCTTGCAGTATAAAACATGTTGGTTTTTTATAAAGCTCACTTACCTATATAAAGATTATTAAAATTTAATCATTAAATTCTCATCAAAAGAGATTAAAAGGGAGGCTGTAGTAGTTGAATAGCAAGCAATTATGCTAAAACCCATGAAAGAATTTTAAGTATCAAAGTTCTTTTCATATATAAAGCCATTGTATATTTTAGAAAATAATTGAGGGGAAACACAACATAAGATTTTATATATATTTTCAAGATTTTATTTATTTATTTGAGAGAGAAAGAGAGAGAGAGAGCAGGAACAGAGGGGAGGGGAAGAGGGAAAAGGACAATCAGGATCCCTGTTAAGCAAGGAGCCCTACTTGGTGCTCCATCCTATGACACTGGGATCATGACCTAAGCCAAAGGCAGATGCTTAACTGAGCCACCCAGGCGCCCCACAACATAAGATTTTGACTAGGTGTTTGCTGAAAATATATTTTGGGACAGGTTTTCTGTTAATTTATTAATATATACACAGTTACTTTCTTTTTTTTAAGATTTTATTTATTTGACAGAGAGAGACACAGCAAGACAGGGAACACAAGCAGGGGGAGTGGGAGAGGGAGAAGCAGGCTTCCCGCGGAGCAGGGAGCCCGATGCAGGGCTTGATCCCAGGACCCTGGGATCAGGACCTGAGCTGAAGGCAGACGCTTAATGAGTGAGCCACCCAGGCGCCCCCACAGTTACTTTCAATCACTAAAACAACCCCATAGTTTATATATTAATATCTTTGTTTCTCACCAGAAAACAAAATTAAGATAGCAAGTAATTTGCTAAATCTTAGTTTGCCTCAAGTATATCTAAAATTTAATTCTAAAAGTGAATCAACCAGGGCACCTGGGTCGCTCAGTTGGTTAAGCAACTGCCTTTGGCTCAGGTCATGATCCTGGAGTCCCGGGATCGAGTCCCCTATCGGGCTCCTTGCTCAGCAGGAAGTCTGCTTCTCCCTCTGACCCTCCCCCCCTCATGTGTTCTCTCTCTCTCACTCTCTCTCTCAAATAAATAAATAAAATCTTAAAAAAATAAAAGTAAATCAACCTATTCTACTAACTCCGTGTTGTGTGTGTGTGTATGTGTGTGTGTGTAGGTACACATGTGCATGTATTTTTCAGACATCTTAAGAAATTAAAAAAATACGAGTTTTCCATTACTGGAATATATTTTCCATTGTGATATCTCTAGTAACTTATTCTAAGAAGGAACTAGGGAAGAAGAGTACCCTATTTTTCATCTGTAAATAGTTAATATATATGAAAATAAGCTATTTCATGTCTGCTCACATATGCTCCATTGGGATTAATACTTATGAATTATATAAGATAGATTTTTCTTTGGATTTATGATAAAAATTATGCCAAATCTGAAGTATCCTTCTTCACTGAACTGTGATGTGGAGGATCATCTAACTGACCATGGCATATGGAGTGTGAAGTAATTTATTCCACTATAAAAATTGCTAAAAGTAGGAAATAAAAACATAAAAATAATAATTCAAGGAAATATTGGATTTTTTCTGTTTTTTTTTTTTTTTTTTACAGATTCTATCTTTCCATTTATGATAAAAAAGCCAAGGTTTAGGTGAAATTTTCACTTACATACAGTATAAATAATTGAAGTGAAAGAATTTGACAGGGTGTTTTATACATCAATCTCTTCTTTGGTATCTATTTAAGAAAGCATTTAACACAAAGACAACTCATTGCATAATTTGTTAATTTAAAATCTGAACAGGTTTTATCTTGTTCACAAATGACAGAAGAAACATAGAAAATAACGATTTAAAATAATTTTCAAGTTTAATATGTAAGATTATATGTATATATAGTGAAACTGACCAATAAGACATAATGCAGTCTAGATCCACACATATACTATATAATCACTGATAGGAGCAATTCTCTGAGCAATGGATCTCATTCCTATTCCTTTCATTTTGTGACTCCACCATTCACTATAAAGCCTTTGAGCTCCTGGGTTCCTGACTTTATTTAGGATACTTCCTTTTCATCCATCCAGCCAGCTAG